CTGATTTAAGCTCTACAAAGGGACATAACCTGATTTATAAAAAAGCCAGCGTCTCTTATTTTCAGAGACAAGTTTTTTTATAATTTCTCGTCTCCACATGAGAGATTATGTCAGCACAAATGGGCATCCTGGTGGCTTAAAGATGCTTTAAATGAACTCATGAATGTTTTAATTCAAGCTTAGAAGCTCCACCAAGTCATTCAAACCCTCTTAAAACTGAACTGAATAAACTGGTGGGTCAGGAATGAAAAACTCAACAAAAAAAAAAAGGTGTGTGAAGGGTGTGTTTGGAGTTTTTTCTCAATTTCTTCTCCATCTTGGTTCTGTAGGTGCTGTGGCGAGCACTGAGGTGAAGATGCGGCTCCAGGAGTTTGTCCTGAACAAGAAGAAGGCTCTCGCCCAGCGCAGCCTCAACCAAGGAGGACTCCCCAATGACGCTCCGTATTGGTACCGGTGAGAAAGAATAACTTCCTGAATAAGAAGCAGCAGAAGGTGTAGAGATGCTTTTAGACGATACTTTGCACTTCACAGCTGCTGGTTTGCATCAGAAAGTAAAGGAAAGACTTTTGTTGCACATGTTTAAATCTAAATTATTAGTCATGATTGTCAGCAGTGGAATACAGTCGGAGATCCTCAAAAAGTTTGGATGGTAATTCTCCCTCTCTGACAGCGGATGAATAATGTATTAGTTGTGTCTTAATCTGTCACCGAGCTTCCCGTCTCCCTCACCTGCCACACTGTATGAGCCAGACTGAGCGATGGATGCAGCAGGGTTATAAAACAAAGACACATGCACGCTCACACACGTGCACGTGAGAGCAGGATATTGGAACCTGATGATAGGGCTTCTTACGCCACAGGCTCGGCCTTGACTGTTTATTGTAGCATGTCTGAAGCCCCTTTTGCAGGTGTGCAGCTTCTCTTTGTTCACAGTGGAAGTCGCCCATTACATGCTCTTGTTGTCTCTGTGTGACTGGAAAAGTGATTGTGCAAACCAAATATGTGTAAAGATTCTGATTGTCAAGCTCTCCAGGTCATTCATTATATCTCCAGCTTCTGCTTGTTCAGAATGAAAGATGGAAGTAACCTCACTTAGACTTTTTAATCCTTCAAAAGTCTTCAATTAGATTTCTTTTAAAATGAGCTCATAAAATGTCTTTAAAAGTTGTATTTTTACTTGAAGGCAAGCTTAAATTTTAAATGAGAAGGAGAGATTGGGAAATGCAAGTTCAAGGAAATTTGGCTTAGATGAAATAAAGGTTTACAGGAGCAAACGAGGATTACGAGGCGACCTGGAAGACATGCAACAAACATCTTATAAACCTGTAACAATGGGATTCAAAGTCAGAGAGTCTCACATTAAGTTCGAAAAGCACCAATGCTTCATGGTGCATAAACGGTTTAAGTTTTCTTTGATTGGGTATTAAAAGTAGAAAAAATTAAAAAAAGTTACATAAGTGGTTTAAAATATTCAAACATTGTGAATTATTGTGAATTTTATATTGCACTATAAAAGCACTTACGCCACAAATGAAAATCCATAACCAAATAAATAATGTTACATAATCTTAATGTGTAATAAAAACACCCACAGGACTTTCAGCAGCTCACTGTGATATAAACTTTCTCTTTTTTTTGTCCGCCTGGCTCTACTTTTCCTTCTTTCCTGAATGTAAATGTTCTCCTCTCATTGGACCCATCTGCCCCCTCAGTTTTGGGATAGAAGAGTGTGTACATCCACTCGTCGGGAACATGCATTTGGTCCAGAGCCAACTCGGCTTAACTTTGCCTACAAACACCACCTTATTCTGTTGGCAGTGAGCAGATGGCAGCACATGTCTGCAGGCCTTGCCAAGGGATTTGCATGATGCGTTAATCATACAGATCTTTGACAGCCATGAAGTTAGTTACATTGTAAGGATTACTCTTTCAGGCACATGTCCACTGTTTTTTTTGCCCTTGCAAGCATATTTTTGATATCCTGGTAGTGTCTTTAAAAATGTGCTATATGTTTTTTTGTTCTATAGCAAAACCCAGCACAGCTCGCTGGACCAGAGCTCGCCGCCACAGACTGGTGTCTCCACCTACAACCACCCTGTGCTGGGTGTCTACAACCCGCGTGATGACTTCCCACTGCGAAAAACTGGTAAATGCACGCTTGCACATTTGTTTCGTCAGTGTAGACATGTCTGTTTGCGCCTGTGCAGGCTCACATTTAGAGAGGGATACACACACTGACTAGAGATTGTAACGTCCAGTAGCCTCTATGCAGACTCACGTCCAGCATAATTTAGATCAGGCATCAGGGCTCGGCACCATTAATCACAAATCACAACCAATTAGGCTGTCAGGTCCTCCCAGCATCCCCCATGAGAGTCTTTGAGAGAGCAGAAGCGTAGGTGGTTCATGAGTTCAATAGAGTGAGAGTTCAATAGAGTGAAAGAGGTTTGTACCATTTTAGAATCTGACATTTATTGTTTTTTAAGAGTTCTCTATCTTGGGGGGGTTGTTTTAAATTAGCTATTGTTCGGAAAAGTCTCAGAACCTTGACCCTGACAGCGTTCATAATTACAGATTTTAATTAAAATTGGCAAAGAGTTTTTACATCTCTTGCTGTAGTATTTTGTCTGAAATTTCTGCTGCCCTTCATTTGTTTGGTTATTGCATATTAAAACTAACTTACTCTGACGGATTCTATTTGAGGGCTTTCTCATTCGGGACCATCTCCTCTAGTAATGCAACAATTACTTTTGGGGTTCCCCAGGGCTCAATTCTTGGTCCTTTATTGTTTTCAATCTGCTTGATAGCTCTGGGTCAGGTAATTCACAACCGCAATATGTCTTCCTTCGATAAGCTTATAATACACACACAGTAAACCAATTTGGCCTCTCCTCTGTTGCTCGCTCATCAAATTATAAGGTTTCCAAATTTTGGACTTGGATAAAACCTTGGGGTCTGTAAACAAAATATCTGATTCCTTCAATTTGCACATAAAGAAAAAACATTTCCATGTTATTTTACGCCCTGTCTTCATGCCCTTTTTCTAAAGCCCATAACTCATTATTGTTCCCACTTTCTCAAAAATTAACAAATCCTTACCGGCCTGTAAAAAAACAAAGCCATAATTCTTTCAGTGGTTTTCAAATTTGCCATTTTAGCACTCAGTTTGTCACTCAGGAGCCTCACTAACATATATTTATTTCTTCAGTTTAATTTTTTTTGACAAGCTCTGTAATTTCTTTATTATTTTGTTTTGATCTTCAGCTCTCAACAAACAGAACAGCCTAATTTAAATAATGGAAACTTGTTCAAACGGTGTAACATTTCCCCTTTGGCCTGTAAAAGATTTGCATTCTGTTTACTTTCCCTTTTACTCATCCCGTTCTTTATCTTTGAATTCAATTTTACCGTTATTTCGAAAGAAAAGTGCTGCATTTTATTTATGGAGTACCCCTGAGCCCACTAAAGGTGCTACTTTTATTATTAATTGTATCATTGCATTGTGCAACTCAAATTGGTGACCGGTCTGGTTACCAGTCATCAGAGCTGCTAAAAGTCTGCAGAATGCAACATTAGGAAAAATAGAGATTTTCTTGGGAACCTTTCATCTAATGTCTATAGGCTTCTTTTCTCCAACTAAAGAAGCCTTTGCAGAGTAAAATCAGCTGTTTTTGTCATTTTGTTGGTTTAATGTCAGTTGTGAGTATGTGTTCAGCTTTGTATGTGTGTGCAAAGTGCTAGGGGTGTGTGCGGTGGTGTAGCCGTGAAGCAGCGGTCGTCTTACAGTGCAATTATTCACTTAGTGCGGCGGCAGGAGGCTACAGCCAGCACTGCAGCCCTGTCGACTCTGAGCCTCTGGGCTGCTGGCTACAACAGCAGAGAAACCACAGTTGACACTGGCCCACACAGCCACATTCCACCCTGAGAGACATTGAAAAAGAGGAGTGAAAAGAAAGCGAAGGAGGTGAAGGAAGAGTGATGATCAGAAAGATGGAGACTGGAAGATGAGCATTTTGTGGCTTCACTGACCATCTGAAAGACCTCCAGACATTTTTTTTTTCTGGGAAAGGAAAACATTCAAGGCCGAAAAATGGAGAGAATGTTGGTAATCTTTTTTAAAAGCAGAGCAATAGAAGAAGAGAAAACGGTTTATGGGAGCTGGAGAGCGGGATTGAAACTAAATCCAGCAAGTGGCACTGGGACGCCTCAGTCCAAAAAACCTAGCTTCACATATGGGAAGAGAAAAAAGGCGGGAAGATGTCGAGAATTGAGAAAGATCGACCCTGGACTGTCTATGTCGCGTGATTTCTATAAAGCTTAGGATTGTGCTCAGTTGCAGGAGAGGGGAGAACCTGTGCCACCCTGATATTTGCCCACAGCGATGACGTGCTTTGCGGGGTTTACTTATGGTAATGCCAGCTCTGAGGAGGTTAGAGGCTCTTTTATTTCACCGCCTGGCCATAAAATAGGAGGATTGGCAACCAGGGTTCCCAGCAACGGTCAAAGGGAGCAACAGCGCTCTTTTGTGCATTCCCCATCTCAACATTTGGCATTAAAGAAGTTTTGTGCAGCTGTAAACTCCAACAAAAAGCAGAATTAGATCAGTAGATAAAACGTAAAGTCGCTTGTGACTTACACTGTAAAATTGGGAGTACAAGACAAGCAAACTAACTTTATCGCATCAATAGCTGTGATTCTCGTGACCTGTAGAGGAGATAGAGATGCGTGACAAGAGGGGTTTGATGAAAACCTGAGCCGAACGAAAGCTTTTAAACGAATAGCTGTTGTTACACGGGACACATTTAGGGCTGAGAGAGCATCACGTGAACTTACAGTCTCCCCTGTCTGGAGTGTATTCTCACATTCACATCAATGCCTCAGAAAGCTGTAGATGGGCTGGGAAAGTTTGAAGCACTCTGACTCACTGTGACCTTTTGATTGGGCCAAAGCAAGGCATGCTGGTCCTGTCTTTTCACCGATGAGCAAATTTGAGCCTTTCTTTTTTTCTGGGATCCTAACTGGGGCAGCCAGTCCTTCACATGGATACAATGGCACATACGCAGTGACTGCTACTGTACAGAACATGGTGAGGCCTGTTTTAACAGGGTGACAATGCACCATCTGAGCACTAATATCATGTGTGATTGTGTGTGCTCATGTTCCCCTAATCCCCCTCATTTTCTATGTAGTTAGTATGTTAAGGCAGTGAAGCGTGGGGACGACGACGACTTAAAATTGCATTTAGTTTATTTTCTCTAAAAATACTCAACTTATCTAAAAAAAAGAGGATGAATTGAGTTTAAAATATCTTTTATTGGAAAATAATCCACCCCAAAAAGTAAAAAAAAAAAAAAAAAAAAAGGAATAGCCAGATAACAGCCGGTACTCAATACTTGGACCTGTTAGCAGTTTTTTTTTAGCTCGGCTACTTAGCTTTTAGCAGGAATGTTTATCCGCGTTCCTTTTGAACCATTGGGATAAGATTATTCTGAAGAGAAGACTTGAGCAGATGTCAATGTGTCAAATGTAAATTAGCTTCAACTAGTGTTAGTTTGTTTGTTGATACTTGTGATTTGTAGAGCCGGCAAATTCGTCATTTTATTGTCTTAGCCGGAGATTGTCTAAACCAGATCTAGGTCTGGCATCTCGGCGTTGTGGGACACGACTGTTCTTTATACCGAGCTGCTGTTGAAACATTTGTGGTTTTTGTTTTAAATGATTAAGTCAGAGGGTAATGAAACTCAACACAATCTGGTTTGTTGATAATTGGCTCCACAAACTTCCACCTACGTCAATTGATGCGAGTCCAACTGGCCTTAATTGAATCTTCACACTTTTTTTTTTTTTTTTTTTGCATCTTCATTTTGATCTGACACTATGGGAACAGAAAAAGGACACACAAACGGGAACATGCTCATATTTTTAAAGAATTGTTTCCTTAAAGTATTTTCACATGAAATTTGGTTTTAGGGGAAAAGTAGCTTTTCATCATCCACACCGTCTGTTTAAAGTAAGACATCTAGGAGCAGATTCATCTGGTTGTGTCATAATCAGGGGTTAGTGGTGTACCACTTTGGATACGGGCCTCCTTTGGTAATTAAAAATTGGATAATGAATAGTGGAATTACCCACCGCCGCTGATTGGCAGGGCAAAGTAAACAAAGCGCTAGCCTCATGGCCGGAGCCAAGGTGACATGCCGTTCCCTTCTCTCTGTCTCCATTCACAAGTCGGTCACAGTGCACACAAAAGATCCAAAGGCCTTTAGGCATTCAGAGCCGCTGCGTTGTTGGGAAGTGGATCAGCTTTTGGAAAGTTCAGAAAGCATCTGAACGGGAGGGAGCAGCCGTACAGTAGATGAAGAGTATCCACTAATACTTGGAGCAAACAGGTTTTGTAACAGAGCAGATGTATGGAAGGCGCTGCTGCATGACGGATCAATGTGTGGAGCGCTCACTTTGAGGTGAGAGCCTGTGAGACTGTAGCTCAGGTAGCTCTCCCACCCTTCACATCGATTGGTCCAAAGATGCAAAGTTTTCTGTTCAACATCAACGAGGCTTGAGAAGGATGTAAAAGAAAACAAGAAACACTTTAGTAACCACAGTCATGAAACGTCAGCGTCAAGGTTTGATCTGCTAGAATTCAATTTCTTTGCTCGCATAATGAGAAAGTAGCTTTTGATCTTTTTCAGCGCTGCACAGAACAAAAGACGATCAGATTCTTGTGTGCCTTATTAACTCTTGTTAGGTGTGACTACATTTAGCCTCACTAAATACTGATCATTTCTGTGAAAGCTTCATTCAAAAAAGCTCTGGCTCTACATGTCATTCACTTCATTATATTTTATGTTTTTATTGTGTTGTGTTGGAGCCAAGCGAAACCCTTTAAAACCACTAAGAGCACACTCACACTCAGTAATCTGTACCGTTCCCTGTGTTTGACCCCCAGAGTCCAGTTCTCTTGACGAGTCTGAAATGCTCCTGAACCTGAGTGGCCTATTTTTAAAGCAATCGTTCATTTCATATCTTCAGACAGTTTTTGCATTTATCAGAAAGATTGAGCAGACCTTGCATCGAATGGAGCAATTTGAAAATGTTTTCAAGCCCCCAAAATATGTAAAAGTACATTCCTTAAATCGCTTTATTCCCGGGAAAGATTGTTCACTATCAGTTTTGGATTTGCTTTGCTGTAAAGCAAATGTTGCTGCAAAAAGTTGAAATATGTTTTTTCTGTTTACTCTGTGACTGATCAGTATTCTTACCGGGACTGAATAAATCACTCAATCATTATGTCTGACTCCCTCATCTGTCTTTCAGCCTCGGAGCCAAACCTGAAGCTGCGCTCCAGGCTGAAGCAGAAGGTGAGCGAGCGGAGGAGCAGTCCGCTGCTGCGCCGCCGAGACAGCCCCATCACCACCGCCAAGAAACGCTCACTCGACATGGCAGGTGAGGGAGACTCGTACATGCAGGAGTCTGGTGTTCAGAAAAAAAAAAAAAAAAATCTACTTTCTCTGTGTTTGATATGTGAGTGTGTGTGTGTTGTTTCAGACTCTGCGTGTAGCAGCGCCCCAGGCTCAGGGCCGAGCTCCCCAAATAACAGCTCCAACAACATCCCCAACGAGAACGGCATCACTGTGTCGGTCTGCAACAACACAGAGGTAACAGCAATCCAAGGGCACCTCAGAATAAGAATAAGAATTCCCTTCAGTTATTTACTCTTAGCGACATTTTTTGTACATCTGAAGCGGTTTATTCTCAAACTCTTCAGTCAAATCATAGAAGTGTAGCTTTTAACAGATGAGCTCTACGCTGGTTCAAAAACTTAAAGCATCAATTCATTTTCCATAATTCTGATTCTGATGTCTCCTCTGCAGAAAAGAAAGTGGATGGTAAACCTTTTATAAAGCAGAGACACATTGAAATCATGTGTTAATTTATGCAATATGGCACTAAACATGTGCTAGACACAGCCTCAGCTCAAAAGCCTCAGTATGAGATGAGCCCTCATTTGAAAGGCACAAAAGCACACTTTGCAACACTTGCATAGAGTCTACTTAAGGCTAAATTATAAACAAATTATGCAGCTTTATTAGCTGATAAACATAGCGGCCTGTAGCGCCTACAGAGGCTCTGAGTGAGGCATGATGGGTCTGCAGAGGAGGAAGACAGCCGAGGAGCTGGCAAGAAGCTATTTGTGGCAGCCATTAGGAGCACTCAGGCAGTGTGGAGGAGGCTTGTCGCCGTGACGATTTTCATATCGCCAGTAGCTCTCTCCTCATGTGTGGACATCTACCGCTGCAGTGCCGTTCCTTCTTCACGCTGCAAACACGAATAAATCATTTAAATGTGCTTCCCAGGCGTCTCTGGCCCAGAGGCTGTGCAGCGGTGCTGAGCGGGCTCCGTTAACCAGCTGTCCCTCTACACTTCACCATCCTTACCCAACATCACCCTGGGCTGCCCGCCACTGCCACGGCCACGGCTGCTTCGAATGTGAGGAGGAGAAACCGCCGCCAAGCTCGCCAAATCGCTAACAGATCCCATGTGCTTTTTATTTATACTGAAATTCGAACATTTACCAACTAAATCCACCTCTTCTTTCCTCCAGGTGACTTCAGCCCAGCAGGATGGAGGTCTGCAGCCGGCCCTCTCACTAAGCCCCCCCTTTCTCTCCGGCGGCCACTTGACCCCCTACCTAGCTGAGGCCGGCAGTGGAACAGGCGGGCACGGCGCACACAGCCCACTGCTCCAACACATGGTGCTGATGGAGCAGAGTCCAGCTCAGAGCCCCCTGGTGACAGGTAGGAGAAGTTTTACTTCACAACACTCATAATTAACCTTCTGGACCCAGAAGAACATTGCTTCAGTTTCATGGGAACCTCGACTTAAATACGAGCTCCTCTACTCAGTCTAACTCTAACCCTTCTTACAGACAGCGGAAAAATGGAAAATTCAGACACGACCTTCAGTGCTTTTTATGCAGAGTTTGAGTCAGAACATTACAAAGAAAACAGCAGCAACACATGAAAAAAAAAAAGTACTGAAACCATTAAAAAAAGAGGAGGAAAGATGAAGCAGCTGTGAACCACACACACATGCCGCTGTGGAAAACCTGTGCAAAGAGATATATGTTAAAAGACTGAATTGTCTTCCTATTTGTTCAGGGGATATCCACGGGGAATACACGCACTAGTTAATGAATTAAACGCTCCATTCTTCTCACTGAACTGCACAGAGATTTAGCCGCAGAACATTTGTTTTACACCGTGATGATACGTTTACTGAACTGTTTGCAGATCAGCTGTTTCTCCACTAACTACCACACAAATGATTTAAAAGAAGTGGTAGGAGGGGAGGGTGGGGGGCATCTTTCTTTAGTCATTTCCAGTCTCCATCATGATGGGGGCATTCAGCATCTTTATGTTTGATTAATTAGAAAAAGCGAAATCACCAAATACAACTCTGAGTTTGAGTTTGAGTTTGAGCTTTTGTTCCTGACACGTAAAAAAAAAGAAAAAAAAAGGGAGCCGATGTGTGTCCCCTGTGTGCCCCCTCAGACTGACAGACGTCCATTCATTTGCTCATACTAATGAGCCCCTTTCATATAGCGTACGCAGTGAAAATGTGACATGGAAGCATTGTGCACCCCTTTCCCATCAGTTCACTCATTGACGACCCTTTGGCTGCTATTTTCAGCGGGGGCATCGGCAGTGAATGGGCAATGACGCACATACGGTCGCATGTACGTGTGTAACAACACAACGCACAAAAACGTTTGCATGAGGACAAGCGAGCGCCCACACACACACAGCACAGGAGAAGATGCAGCCGCTTGCTTCTGAGCTCACACAATGGACAGACTCTTCATGCTGAGGGTCTTCTCGCTCTTCCTTCCTTCTCTGCGGTCGTTTTCCATCAGAGGAAACAATTTGACAAAACACTCAAATAATCAAGTCATTTTCTCTGATATTTTCTCAGCAATCAAGCGTCTCAGATCATTTCCCAGCCTCGACCCGGTCTGTTTTTCTTACGTCCCTTCTCTGTAAATGGACCAAACTGCTCACTTCCCTCGGCTCTTATCATCACAATAAAAGGACGGCAGTATGGCAGCACAGATGGCCGCTTTTTTATTTGGTTCACAAATACATCTGTTGGCTAATCTTAGGTCCAACACCAGTAAGAGTGAGACGAGAATTCATCTTTTTTTATTTATTTTGTGATGTGAAGAAAACCTTTAAAATTTGTCTGGAATTGTCGTCTTCACTGAAGCTCGGGGTCTTCAGCGTCTTGGATGCTCAGAGTTACTTTCAAACCTATTCTGGAAATGCCTTCGGCCACATGTCCACCGAGCGTTGTCTTCTGAGCTCCAGCGTCTTTTTTTTTTTTTTTCAGTTGTTTTCAATGAGTGTTTGCAGCAGCAGGCGGCCGTTTGGACAGAAAGCGCAGCACCCAGCGTATTTTTCTGAGCGCTCTGATTTTTATCTTTGGTGAAGGAAGCACTGTCCCTTCAGTGTGAACACAGAGCTCAGAACAACACACTTAGAGGGGGTTTGACTTCACTCATTTTTTTAGAAATTCATTCCTCCTCTAGATATTGACTTTAAATTTAATTGAATCAAGATATCAGACGTTAACTTGCGAACAAAGCTGATGGCAAAATGTGCGTGAATCCCATGTCACACTATGAAAAGCACGCATCATGTTTCGATCACTTCACAGTGCAGAAAAAGAAAGCCTAAGTATCTTAATGGAACATCATAGAGCTGACAGCTCGTTGAAACAATGCCCCCTCTGTTCTTATTTTCTTCACCACCCTCTCAGACAGCTTCTCCTCCTCATGGTTCTCACGTTACACTCTCTGCTTCCTCGTCCTCTTCTCACTTCAAAACTCTCCCTCCTTGTCTATCGTAGGTGTGAGCGGCCTGTCCATGTCTCCGGGCGCCTCCATGGCCAAGCTGCAGCGGCAGCACAGGCCTCTGGGACGCACCCAGTCGGCCCCTCTGCCTCAGGGGAGCGCGGCCCAGGCCCACGCCCAGGCCCTGGCCCTGCAGCAGCTGGTGGTGCAGCAGCAGCACCAGCAGTTCCTGGAGAAGCACAAGCAGCAGTTCCAGCAGCAGCAGCTCCACATCAACAAGGTGAGGAGTACAGTCCTGTTTAGACCTCGTGTGAGCAAATGTCCCTGGTGAGCCAAAGAATAGTGGACAGCTCAATGGCATTAACATGCGTCTCTAAGTGCGTCCCCAGTGACCACTTGTGATTGGATCGCACTTCCTCTTCATTTCATAGCTTTAATTAACTTCATTAGCCTATAAAACCGTTGAATGATACAAAACTGTGCCGACTTGCTGCAGAGAGAGTGCTCATAAAGAATGGGTGTAAAAGAGGGATCCAGTAAATATACACAGAAGAGCCTCTGTTAACGCTGTGCAGCATTATCATTAAACATGATGGACTGCCTGACAATGTGTCACATCTCTCGCTAGTGCAGAGGGATTGCCTGGCCTCTCGTCGCTTGTGCAGGATTGTCACATCTCATCACAGATTGATCAGATCTCAATTGGATTCCTGAAGGATCGCGCTTCTCTGTCTGGACGCGTTCTTACAGCAGACGTCAAACAAGGCCGTCGTTGTTGTTGTGTAACGTGGCGGCAGGTGACGGAAGAGGACACAGATCTGACATCACATTCAAATCAACTGCTTATTATTTAGGACAGTAAGCCAGCGTGGGCCGGCACAGGAGCCGTAGTGTGTTTGTGTGTGTGTGGGTGTAACACAGCCGACAATGTGTGAGCTGTGAGTGTGAAGATCTTGTTTTTCTTTTCTTTTCTTTCTGTAGTATTTTAGTTTCATAAGTAGGCGGCGGCAGGTATGGGTTAACGTGTATAGCAGAGTGTGTGTGTGTGAGGATCTTTGCATCCACGTCTCTCTGACCGTAGTTGAGGTAACTGCACGCTGCCATAGCAACAGAGCGGAAGCCTCCTGCCTTATATGGTCAAGAGAGGAAGTAAGGAACAGCCACTTTACCTATTCGAACAGAGTGCTCGCTGGAGGAGAGGTGGGTGGATGAAACAAGGGATTTCCTCTCCTCCTCCTCCTCCACCTCCTCCTCCTCCACCTCCCCCCTGGCTCTGCTCCTCTCTCTCTCTCTCTCTCTTTCCATCTTTCTCCCTCCATATGTTTCGGAGCTCTCCCGTGGCAGCTCTTCACACAAACATCTCTATAACAGCCTCTGGCTCGCCAAGGCTGAATCTGCAGGATGAAAATGAAAAGCTCCACTTTGGACACTGTTTTATTTTTGTTAAAATCATCGTCTGTAACATTTCTACCAATAAAGAATGAGTTATAGAGACCAAACCAGTTTTTTGAACCAGTCTGTAGACATGTTGATTCCTGCTGTAAAGTTAAGCATTTTAAAACGGGACCCGATGGGGATTCCTCGCTTTTCGAAGCCAGCCCCAATTGGTCACTCGTGGAACTGCAGGCTTGTGCGTTGGGTTCATTTTTCAAGATCAGAGATTTTCAGACGTCTTGATCGTCTCGTCTCGTTTGAGCGTGACGAGTAAACAACTGCTGTTTTTGTTCTCCTTCTTTTTACTGTCTTCAAGATGAATTGGCTTCTCCAAGAAAGAACCCGAAGATGATCGGTGTGGTCAATTTCAAGATTGCAGAAGAGAAACGTATGATGTAGGAGTTTGATGGCATCTGAAAAAATGATATTCAGATTAGTCTGCTGGCTGATTGAGACGAAGCAGCTACTTAGAAAATCGATGCGTCATTTGAGTTATTTTTCAAAAGGAGACTCCGACGAATGCACTGCTCCGGCTTGTCATATAGTAAACTGATTAACTCAAGATAAAGAATAAAGAGGAGGTTTCTGGGAAAGTAGAGCACGGGGGGGGCGGGGTGAAAATATTGTTTGGATGCAAAGTAGACAAGAACAGTAGAGAAAGGGGCAGGAGGGGGGGGGGGGATGCTCTGACGTCAATGCTGTGTCAGCGCTGTGCCAGGGGACCCAGAAGCTCAGGGGAACACACACACACACACACACACACACACACACACACACACACACACACACACACACACACACACACACACACACACACACACACACACACCTGTAGCTGGAACACTCTTGAGACTTCCTACAAACACATCATCTTTCTCTTAGATATTTTATGGCAGCCTTGAAAGTAAATTCTGAATGGTTCACGTCAGCGACTGAATCAGCGCTCGGTTTTAGCGACGGGCGCCACCCCCCCCCCCCCCCCCCTCGAGTGAGTCGATGAAAAGCGGCGCGACGGGGAGCGCAGAATGTCTCTCTGTTTCGACGAGACACATTTCGCCCCGGAGTACAGTCGACAGAGCGGCCACTCACATTCAATTAGAGCGGGTAGGTTTGAAACGAGCAAGACACCAATCTGACTGAGTAATCCAAATTAAGCTTGTTAAAAGAAGAATGCTGGAGAGAAAGGAGCGATTTGCCAGGAATTTGATTTGTCTGAATGCAGCCTCACACGTCTGAGGGGATTTGTCACATCCTGCTGTTTTATTGTGAAATAAATTCCCTGCCCCTCCCTCCTTCTGTAGATGATGGCCAAGCCCAGCGAGTCCCCCGTGGGTCGCCAGCACCAGAGCCACCCAGAGGAGACGGAGGAGGAGCTGAGGGAGCACCAGGATGGGGGAGGAGGGGCCCTGCCGCCGGGGGTCACCATCAAGCAGGAGCCGCCTGACCCGCAGGAGCTGCAGGAGGAGGCCATGCAGCAGCACAGGGAGCGGCAGGCGGAGCAGGAGCTGCTCTTCAGACAGGTAGAGGAGGCTGAGAGAATCGATGTGAATCCCACTCTCCTTGGTGCTTGTAGATGTTCTGGGGAAATCCTGGGAAGGAAAAAAAAAAGAAAGAAAAGAAAACACAAAGATGTATTTTCAGCTTCTTGTCTTTTCCCTCCGATCAAATGCTGAAAAGGAAGATCAAAGTTTTTTCAGTTATTGTGGCTGCCCCCTTTTGGCCAGAAGTTGCAGCTGCAGTATAGAGAAGGTTTTTGCACACTTCATTTTTAAGGCCAGGCTCAGACTACAGCAGACTTATGATTCTTTAAGGATGTAATGAAAAACGTCAAAGATGTTTGTTTTCTTTCCAAAATATGCGATACTGTTGATATTAACAGGGCAGCCCTGAAGAGCTGTTTTGGAGTTAAAAGATTGGATCTGAAAACTCCTGAGTCAGCCTTTTGCTTTATGCTTTTACATTTGTGCTAAACAGCTCACCACAACAACTGCCTGATTCTTGATTTCTGTGTGTGTGAGCAGCAGGCCCTGTTGCTGGAGCAGCAGAGAATCCATCAGCTCAGAAACTATCAGGCCTCCATGGAAGCTGCCGGCCTGTCGATCTCCTTCCCCGGACACCGCCCTCTGTCCCGGGCCCAGTCGTCTCCGGCCTCGGCCTCCTCCTTCCCGATCAGCGTCCCGACCTCTGACCCTCCTGTCAAACCTCGCTTCACCACAGGTCGGCACCTCTGTCCCCCCTTCATCGACGTTTTTAACATGCTTCGTTTAAGCTGTCGTCAAGGTGCCGGCGTTATTCATGTCCAGAGTTGTTGCTGTCTGCCTCAGGTGTTCATTTGAGAAGTTTTGGCTTTGAATGCACTTCCTTCTAAACACACAGGGGACGAATGAACGGGATGCTCGCATCCAAACGAGCAGGTGAATTAGCCAAAGGACGCTGAAACTGTTCCGGCCTCCATCTGCTAGCAGAAAATAATCAAGCTAATCCTGCCAAAACCTTTTTCTCACCCACTTGGTCTCCCTCTCAGACATCAGACACGTTAAACAAACACAAGAACGATTTCAGGAGCTGAGGAGAAAATCTGTCTTAAAGAAGGAATGCAGCTATTCGTACTGAAGGAGCCGCTTTCTGTGTTATAACAAGCACAAGAGTTGGAGATATTTTTAAAACAGTTTGGCCTACTTTACTCCCACGCAGTTCCAAACTGCACGGAGCATTTAGGGAGAGATTTTATTCAAGCCCAAACTTGGCGTTTAATTTAAAGCGTAGGAAACAAAACGTTAATTCAAAATGTCTGAGCTGTTTCTCTTCTTGAAATAAACGTGTGTGTCTCCTCAGGTCTGGTGTACGACTCCCTCATGCAGAAGCATCAGTGCATGTGTGGAAACACCAACAGCCACCCCGAGCACGCAGGCCGGATCCAGAGCATCTGGTCTCGTCTGCAGGAGACGGGCCTCAGATCGCAGTGTGAGGTACGTTACAAAAAAGTGGAAGCAGCGCCGCGGTGAACATCACACAAAGTTGTAAAGTACACATGAGAGTTGTATCATTCTTTGTGTGTGTGTGTGTGTAGTGCATCCGTGGGAGGAAGGCCACTCTGGAAGAGCTGCAGACGGTCCACTCTGAAGCCCACGTCCTGCTGTACGGAACCAACCCTCTCCGACAGAAACTTGATTGTAAGACACTCACAAACAAACCGGATCTAATATTCATCCAGCAACTGTCTCTAATGTCACGTTTCCTCTCTGATCACCAGGTTCAATCACTCCCATGTTTGTACGGCTGCCGTGTGGAGGCGTCGGGGTAAGAGACATCAGTCAACTTGCAATGCAATCGCATAATCATAATAATTAAAATACATGCATGCATACACATACGTGCACATAAACGGCAGATGAATGCATTAAAATAATTTAAACACAATAAAAAGGCATGTTAGTGCTTCAGAATAAAATGAAAGAACTGAAAATATTCAGAAATAAACTCACTACATGGATACGCCTGCAGGGCAGCAGGAGATTGCAGTGAATTTATGAAGCAAATGAAAAAAGAAAGCTACATTTGTATGAGCCTTAGGAAGACGGAGGAGGATAACAGTGTGTCTAAAATTTGGTAAATGAAGAAAGAACAAGCAGTGAAGTCAAACCTTCGACTTCATCTCACCCTCACACTTGGTGTTCTGTGTTTTCCAGGTGGACAGCGACACCATTTGGAACGAGGTGCACTCGTCCAGCGCCGCCCGCCTCGCCGTCGGCTCGGTGGTGGAGCTCGTTTTCAAAGTGGCGACAGGAGAGCTGAAGGTGACCTTCTTCACAACCTTTGTCATCGTCATTTAAATTAAAAAAAAAATTAAAAAAAGTTTACGTTTGTTCAGTAGAGGAAGTGTGAGGAGGTGTTTAAAAGGAAAACTGCAGCTACTTCCTGTCATCCGTTAATGTGCTGAAATCAGAATCAGGTTATCTGAGCTCAAAGAGGGATTCAATGTCTTTGAAAATGTTAAATTAGTCACAAAAACAAACTTAAAATGACCTAAACCTCTGTCACTAAACTCCTGTCGCTCCTGTGTGTCTGCAGAACGGTTTCGCTGTGGTCCGCCCTCCTGGACACCACGCTGAGGAGAGCACTCCCATGTAAGTCCACAGGCGACATCACACTTAATCTGTGCACACACACACACACACACACACAGGTGTTAAAGTGACAGCAACGATATTAAAAAGAGCAGGAAACACTTTCAGAACGTCTCCTCTTCGTTGGTGTTTCAGGGGCTTCTGCTACTTCAACTCTGTGGCCATCGCTGCCAAACTGCTGCAGCAGAGACTCAGCGTCAACCGGATCCTCATCGTGGACTGGGTCAGTTCTGGACGAGCCACCTCTGTGATATGTGAGGTAATGTTCTCTCCCATTGAAGGCAGCGTGGCTTACAATACGTGTGCTGTCTGATCTCAGGATGTTCACCATGGCAACGGCACCCAGCAAGCTTTCTACGACGACCCCAACGTCCTTTACCTGTCCATTCATCGCTACGACGACGGCAACTTCTTCCCCGGGAGTGGAGCGCCTGACGAGGTGAGCTTAAGACATTGTAGTGTAAGCAGTGCATTGTGGGAAACGTGTATATCAAGCTAAAAAGCCAGAAGGCTTGACGCGATGTCACATGTTCGCTCCCCTCTGCAGGTGGGCAGTGGGCCTGGAGTCGGGTTCAACGTAAACGTGGCTTTCACCGGAGGTCTGGACCCTCCAATGAGTGACGTGGAGTACCTGGCCGCCTTCAGGTACATCGTTATGTTTCATCTCTGTGTTAGTACGTATTTTCATGGATTCATTCATCTTGATCATTTTGTGGACATATCTTTAAATTGTGTCAACCATCTCACAGTAATTCTTCTGAAGCGTTAACCTTATATGAGTGAAGCACCTAAGTAGTAGCAGATCTATAAATGGAGAGGAGCCAACTATATGTTGTCAGCAACTGTTTGCTAGACAGAGAGTCTACATCTGTTACGTATACAAATCAGTGACATGTCATCTTTATTGTGTTATAGTGATGCACTCAAATGGAAAGGAATTTGTGGGATGTACCTTCTAGCAGAGTATAAGCAGCACTGTGTGATGAAGACTTTGCCATTTTGCCATTTTGCCAATGATTGTGAGATCTTGGTCAGCATGGGTCAGCGATGGTCTGCACTTTGTCAGCCATGTGTGTTGTGTTTCTGTGTTGTCTGACCACGGCTGAATAAATCTAAGATGATCCACAGTCTGTTTCACCATTTCATAATTGTCCATCTCATACAGAAATAACCCCCACCTCACACTCTCTGTGTGTTTTGTGATGTCAAAGTGAAAGCGGATGCTTTGAGTGTCCCGCCGCGTTGTTTAATCTTCACGCTCTGCCCTCTCACTCTCAGGTCGGTGGTGATGCCGATAGCAAACGAGTTCGCTCCGGACATCGTGCTGGTCTCGTCTGGCTTCGACGCCGTCGAGGGACACCCTCCACCGTTGGGCGGCTACACGTTAACGTCCAAATGTGAGATAATCTGATGTCTGCGTCTTATCTCAGACCAACATGTGCATGTTAGCTGGCTGTGAAAAGGTTGGCTCGTACCACTTCTTCATTGATATGAATTCAACCCGTCTGCTCAGGTTTTGGCTACTTGACACGGCAGTTGATGACTCTCGCTGGAGGCCGGGTGGTCCTGGCTCTGGAGGGGGGTCACGACCTCACCGCCATCTGTGACGCCTCTGAGGCGTGTGTGGCCGCTCTGCTCGGACAGGAGGTACGATGGTCGCCCTGAAGCACACAGGATCTGAATGTTATGTTATGGACCGCACATGCCTCCCATTTTAAGCTCTGAAAATGTTACTTCTTCTGCTCCATTACTTACAACAGATTAAAGGGATATTCTGTGTTTTGTTTTTTATATGACCAGTAAATTCAAACCACTTTGTAACTGGGCCAGCTGTTAAGGTGTCATAATCTCTGGGAGGAAATGCATTGTCACAATTTAAAGATTGAGGCTTAGGTAGACAACCAACTCCCGCGGTGAAGACGATCTAATCACTGATTTTATCGATTTAACAGAACACCAATCTGAGCCTGTCAGTTATATAACATGTTGGTTATATCCAAACATGTAGAAACAGAGCCGTGGTTTCACAAACATTCCTCTTGAAGCTGGAGTCTGGATTGTCACTGGACTGATGTTACGTTGTGAATTATTTTCCAGCTCCAGCTTGTGCCAAAAAAAAAAAAAAAAATCCCTCCTGATGTTTACATTTTTGTGTTTGTGTTTTTGTTCCTGTGCAGCTGGACCCTCTGCCCAAGGCCGTCCTCGAGCAGAGGCCCAACCCCAACGCCGTGCGCTCTCTGGAGAAAGTTTTAGAGACTCACAGTGAGTTCACACAAACACTGATAACACACCGGCAGACTCATTCTCATGGATGTGAAACTCACATGTTCACGTTCATATCATTGAACAGTTAGTAAACACATCATTGCTGTGATCCTCTTTTTACCCAAACACCTGAATCTCCCTTCTCTTGTTTTCTTTTTTTTCTTTTTTTAATCTCTCGCCTCCTCTTAGGTAAGTACTGGCGCTCCGTGCACCGCTCCTCCCCGCTGCTCGGACTTTCCCTCCTGGAGGCCAAACGAGGCGACTCGGAGGAGGCCGAGGCCGTCAGCGCCATGGCCTCTCTCTCCGTGGCTAACACCAACGCCATGGATCAAAGGTGAAGGAGAAGAGTGGGCATCCTCACACTTAAAGCCTTTTATCTGTGGCCTCTGAGTTCAGTCTAACATATATTTACTACATACTTTGTACACTTAGAGAGACTCCTCTCATATTTCTAATCATTAAATCAAATCAAAGTCAGATTTCAGTCAGCTAGTGAGCGAAAGTCAGTAGAAGCTGGGCTCGCAGTCTTCAAACCCACCTAAGAGGATTTGAGAAAGCTCTTTTTTTTTAACTTGAATCAGCTCCATGAAGTACTTTAACAGGTTTGAATTGTTGTTTGTTTTAAAGAGGAGAAGGCCATTGCTTTGAATTCTGTGAATGATGAACGCTGAAGGAATCTCAGCACCCTTGACGACTCTATTCAGTGTTTCCACCTGTTTTCTCACCAGGTCTGGTTGTTTTAGGGAGAAGGACACCTCTTCAGTTTATTCAGCTCCTTGTAAAAAAAAAAAAAAAAATGTTGATAAGAAAGAGCTGTTTTCAGACTCTTTGAATTGCAGCCTGTTGATGCTGTTGTTCCTGAGCTGCTCAGTGAGGAGACAATGATGCAGCAAATCAAAAAAAAAAAAAGAGAGATATTCCACTCTGGGTTTTCAGGCCTTGTGTTGGAGAGTCTGCAACTTTCAGGGTGCACTCCTCGTCAGAAGGATTTTGAATGTCTCTTTGTGTCCTCCAGGCCCGAGGACGAGCCCATGGAGGAGGAGGAGCCGCTGTAACAGAGGGAAACATGAGGGTGTCGCACCGTTACCATTGACCTCTCCGGAGACAACTCTTTGAGCTGCGAAGAGTCTTCGACTGACCCCTTCATTTAGTCCCCCTTACCCCACTCACCACGTCAGTCACCTTGATTGGCAGCCCCTCGGCCAATAAAACGAGGGGGGAGGGGGTGGGCTCAGCCTCAGAGTAGGGAGCCAATCAGGAGACAGAGGACTGCATTGGGGGGGGGGGGAATTAAAGAGACTCATTTTTTTCTGTCAGTCTTCGCCCTCTTGTGTTAGCCCCCAGCGGCTAACTGTGTGACCAAGGCAGCAGGTGGGTGTGTTTGGAGTTTGGGGCGAGGTTCGGTCTCGCTGTAGAAAGGTGTGATTTCACTGCAGGAACATACGGTGCTTTACACAGCTGCCTTCTGACCACATACAGTATGGACACCAGAGACAGCAAGACGTTCCCGGCTGCTAGCTCGGGAGTTACTTTTCTCTTTTATCGACTATTTTTGCTGTGAAACTCAAAAGGGCGTCGCAGCAACCGAGATCATATTTTACCAGATGCGTTCACTGTGGACTTTGGTCGAGCCGAAGGTTTGAGTCGGCTCTCGAAGAAGATTTGAAGACAAGACTGTCGCCTCGCCGGACCAGCCTGTCGTTGAAAAAAAAGGTTGACGAGTGAGAGGAGTGCCTTGGTGAGGGAGGGTTCCCCCCCCCCTGCTGGATTTCAGGATTGTTTTCAGGAAAAGATTGCCTTAAGTCAAACGAGGGAGGAAGAGTTTCCCGCTCCTTTTCTTGGGGGACGACTAAAAATAAAGCAAACAATCGTTCAGCATGTTTACGTCTCTTCGGCCTCTCTCTCTCTCTTAAAGAAGAAGAGTTACTTTACTTTTGGATGGATCTATTTTTCTGTAAAAAACAAAATAAAACAAAAAAACACAAAAAAACGCTTTGTAAAGGTAGATGCCAGCTTCAGTAGAAAAACAAAAAAAAACGGTGCGAACATGAAAACTTCCAAACAAAAATTAGACTCTCGAAGAAAACAAGCCTCTGATGTAGCCTCCCTTTAACAGAAGCCGTCGCTTTGGAAACACATGAAGCATGCAATTTACGCAGACAAGACCAGACGTCGTTTCGCAAGAGTTCTGAACGATATCCAAAAGAGGAAGCCAAGCAAGAAAAGCCAAAGCATGAGTTTTGCATTTACAGTACTTTCACTTCACTTAGCTGGCAGACATTTCTCGTACTGGCCCTTTAAGAGAAGGCTCCCAGTACCCAGTTCAATGTTTACTAATTTAACCCTCCACGCATCAAGTGAGCGTTTCTGTCCCGACCGGCCTTCCGTACGTCGGCCGGTCGGCAGCTACCTTGGTTGCTCGTGCGAGCTGGTCGTGTATATTGGATTGAATATATTTTGAGGGGCAGTAATCGCCTGTTTGTAACTACATGTATGATTTCCACATCCGAGTTGTCGATATCAAAAAAAGGATGGGGAGGGGGGGGCGGGAAAAAAACGTGTTTGATAAGCGTGTCCACTTTTTATTTTTTATTGTATAAGATTATTTTTCTAACTTTTTTCATCCATAGATTTTTGTGTTCTGTGTTTTTATCCGTTTTCTGGATAGTTATAGGGCTGCCGTTCACACCTAGTACTTTTTTCACCTCTTGTTCCAGAACTTTCTTTCTTGTATTTATCAAAACCAAGGAGCAACACCTCCTTCCTTTCTTTCTTTCTTTCTTTCAAAGGCTCTCTCTGCCTTTTTTTTTTTTTTTTTTTTGCATTTTCATCTTTGTGTATTTATAACATGTACTGTTTATAGCAGATTTGTATATGGAGAAGTTTATAAATGTACTCTAACTAATGACAGCTATGATATTGTGAGCGACAAACAGTATGGTGTAAGATATTACTACCATGGACTTTAAAAAAAAAAAAAAAAAAAAAAAGCAGCAGTGTATTTAACTCGTCATCGACTGCACTGTTTTCTCGATGCCCTCGAGTGAAGCCATCACACGGCACTGCAATTGGCTTTTCTACGCGAAACATTTGATCACTTTGTTGCCTAATTGATGCATCTTATCCCCCCGTATCACTCACCTTTAAACTGTGACAACACATCCACAAAGAGGTTCAAAGCACGTCTCATGTAGCTAGCTGAGTTTTTATTTGTGGTTCGAGGCAACAAATGACAGAAAAGTGGATTTTTTTTGGGGGGGGGGGTGAAATTTGAAAGGAAAAACTCAGCAGATAACTTTGAAATCTCTTTCTGAGCATGTGTTGCACCATCATGTTCGACCTTTTCGGACTTTTCTGCTCCAATCACCTGATCTAACACTCGATTCTCATGTCTGTAAACTGCTTTGTTCACCAGCTTATTCCAGGCGACTATCCTGTTTATTTGAATATCATTCTAATGAGCATATTTTTCATGTCTTAACAAAACATTCCACTTGTTCTTCCTTTAATTTGGCTTCATTTTTCTTTTCTTTTTTTTACTGGTTTTTTAGTTTGTTTTTGTAGAAACTTTATTACTGCTCTTTTCCGCCGTCTGCTCGCGCCAACTTTAACTCTTTGCATGGTTTGTGAGTCAGCATGCCTGCTTGTCTATGTAACAAAAATGTATTTGCACAATAGAAGAAGAACACTGGAGGACTTTAAGACAAAAAAAACTCTCACTCACTCACACACACACACACGCTCGAAAACCCTCCCATGGCGGCGACTCCCAAGAGCACCAAACAGGACGTTTTTTTCTTCCTCGTTGGTGTGCAAGAATTCAAGACTTTGTGCGGATGACTCCAATGAGGAACCTTTGATATTGTTCTTATTGTTTCCAATGAGTGATTTTTAACAGCACTTACCACATGGACGGACTGTGCTAAAGAGAAACACGCTCTGCCAAACCTCTGCTACATCCACACCTTCAAAACAACAACAACAACAACAAAAAAACTCCCAAAGAATGTTCCTCTTTCACAGATTTGTGAGCGTGCGCTGTTACAGGGAAGAAACGTTTGGAGGGGAAAAAAAGGGCATCGCCGTTCTGATTGTCACTCCCACCTCGGCCAGTTCTCTCTCTCTATATATATAACCACTGTGGCTCAAGAGCAATTCTCGGTTTACATGTAAATGGATAAAAAAAAGTTATTTTTTTGTTTGTTGTTTGTCTCTATTGATGAAAAATGTTATCTTTCTTTGGGACCTACGCTTTGGACATTTCATCTCTTACATCATCTATAAAATATATTTCTGAAAAATACACTCTGTGCTCTGTTTTTTAATCTAATGGGGAATTTTTGGTGCTATTTCAGGAATGTTTCAATCAGTGTGAAGCAAGAAATTATCAGCGTTTCTCTTTTCATCATGTCAACAAAACAAACAATCAAAGTCCATCTTAGTGCAGCCATAGTGTCAATAATCCATCATACTGCTCTTAGTTAAATGGTCCTCAAAGTCTGCACAGCTCCTTCTTTTCACTGGCTATGGTACAAAAAACACTAAAGGTCTCAAATGAAGTTCCCTCAGCACATGACAGCGATGATGGTAAGAGTGTGCCCGGGCTGAAAACGAAGACGACAGGTCTCTGGTTTGAGGAGACATACGAAGAGGCATGACGACTCAGCTGACTCCCAGCTGAGTGGAAAATCTAATAACAGGATTCAATATCTGAAAGTGTGCATGCAAAGTCCAGAGCAGCAGATATCAGCTGACCTTTTCTTCGCTCCTTAAACTGAAGCTTCAAATGTCACGTTATTGTGACAAAATAAAGTCCATCTTTATTTCTGAAAGGTAAGGTGGAAATACTCTGATTTCTTTTACATTTAACCAGTTGTCCAAAAGTGAATTATGCTGTTATTTACTGTAGAAGAATAATTAACTTCAAGTCTTGTAGGAGAAAAAAATGAAATGGGGAGTTTTGACAAAATTTGCACTACCACTCATGATGGGAGGAGTAAGATGAAACCATAAGAAAAAAAAGATGACATGTATGAATTAAATATTACTTATTTTATTTTATTGTTTTATTTATTAGCACACATATAAGAATACATCAAAATAGGATTAACAAAAACATAAAAGGTGTGTCAAGAGAGCTCAAGGAGCCAACAGGCCTCACCTCTTAAGAGACAAATAAATCAACTAAACAAATCCAATTACACAATTTCAAAACAAAATTAAATATAAACACAGTAACCTATACACATATTCATACACACACACTTAGACACATACACACAATAGAAAGACTGAGAATGTTAACCCTCTATCAGCTTAATGAAACAGGCATTAATCTATTAAAAAGGGAGTGAAATTTGTGAGTTGATGGAAATATATATATATATATATATTTTTTATATCTGCAAAAGTTTGACCTCATGTATTAAATGTGAAGACAGTTTCCTTTTAAAAATCTCTGTAGACGAAGAGCCGTTAATTATAACTGTACGTAATAAGAAATGATCACAGGGGTAATAAATACTAGAAGAGGCCAATTCAAAAAGGAAAGCTTTAATAAATAATATATGTCATCAATAGGCATATTCAATATGATATGTGTAGGGGTTTTTAGGATAGGGTAGGATAATACTTTATTGATCCCCAGAGGGGAAATTCGGGCGTTGCAGCAGCACAGACAAGAAAGCTCAAAAATACACATTAAACAGAACAGATAAGAGAAATAAAATAAAAATAAAATAAAAATAAATAATAAAATAAAATAAAAATAAATTAAAAAAATAATAATTAAATTTAATTAAATTAAATTTAAAAAAATAAAATAAAAATAAAAATAAAAAATAAAATAAAATAAAATAAAATAAAATAAAAATAAAATAAAATAAAATAAAATAAAATAAAATAAAATTAAATTAAATAAAATTAAATTAAATTAAATAAAATTAAATTAAAAATAGGGGGTATATACAAGTACAAAATGAATGATGAAGTTAACTATGCAGGGAATTGTGACAGTATTTGCAGAGAATGACAAGATAAAGTGACTTGGTATGATAAACAGCAGAGAAGAGAAGCAGTTTTGTACCACAGTAATGCAGAGTGCAGTTATATAATATAATATAATATAGTGCAATATATTGGTTATATCGGTAAAGCTTATCGGGTATATATATATATATATATAAACTCAATACAGCACGTTTTGTAACTGTTTTACATGAGTGTGTTTTAATGGTTGCGTTTACTTTTTTTACTATATCTCTGGAGTATGAAGGCTGAATGAATATAAAGCAAAGCAAAGTGACTCACATAATCAAATCACAGCATCATCAGGTGAATTAAGACAAATATACATATTTGTAGAAGAGATTCAAGTGTTTAAAAAAAAAAACCAACCTCATAATGAGTGTTCATCTATGTCAGTGTTTTTCTGTCCAATGGGAGGAGAGCACTTCCTCTCCACGGTGCACACACTGTCCTCATAGTTCCTCTCTGCACACTGTCCCCACCGCCTGCAACCAGCGCAATGCTAAAGCTGCAACATTAACGCGTTTATTTTCCCCTTTTTCCACGACCCTTCAGAGGGGGGCGACCTGTCACATCATCATCATCTTCTCTCTGTCTTGTTCTTCTCCTCACCGAGCTGCTGCAGCCGCGTGTTTTCTTTCCCCCCCCGGACATGCCTAACATCGTGCTTTTTAGCGGGAGCTCCCACCACGACCTGTCCCAGAAAGTAGCCGATCGGCTGGGACTGGAGCTGGGCAAAGTGATCACCAAGAAATTCAGCAACCAGGAGACGTGGTAAGCACTTAAAAAAACCCTCCTTACATCACGTTCAGTCATGCATTTTGTCGGTGGAAGAAGCTGCGCTGATGCATCCCATGTGGAGATGTTAGCATGAAGCTAACAATAGTTTACTATACACGTGACTTAGTTAGCCACATGTAAACATGGCAGGCAAGGAAGCTAACTTCTGCTTCCTATATGGGACAGTTACTTCAACACGCTACCTCTTCTGTGTCCTTGTTGTGTGTAACTGTGTAACTAAACCACGCTGACAACAACAGAAGAGTTTTGGAGTTACGTAATGCTGTAGTGGCTTGCTGCGCACCATGCTAACTCAGCTAGCTTCGAGGTGTCATGAGTGATAACGGAGAAATGGGCCAAATTTTTGCACTTCAGTAACAAAATATTCCCAAAATCCCTTTGTGTTCGTTTTAACTACGAGTATTAACTCTAAAAAATGGGTTTGCAGCAGCTGGTGTTTGATTCTTGAGCTGGTTTTGTTGGGTGGGAACGTGTTGTTACGGGGGAGCAGAATTCGACGTAACACCTCAGCTAGCTGGTTCCTGCTTTTTGCTTCTGTCTTAACAAGCATCTGATGAGGTTAGGCAATGAAATGCAACAAGTGTGAACTTATGTCGAGTTTAGGAAGCATTATATAAAAAGAAGGAGCATTTAATGTAATGTGAAGAAGAATGTATTTAAAAAGGGAAATGAGTTAATTCACCACTGCTCACATCACATGCACTTTATTAACCAATGTGACTGACTTAATGACTGCCTGCACGCCAGCTTCTAGGCCTTTTTTATATTGCAGTTTGCTGAGGTTTTTTACAACTTGCAGCTCCTGTTGTAAACACATTTAAAAGTTGTGCAGCCTGTTTTTAAACCCTGATGCAGGCGACCTTTAAACGCCATGCTGGTTTATGTTTATTTGACCTGAACTCGTCACTGAACTGTCAGATGCAGCTTGTTTTATCATTCAACATGTGTTTGTGGCCCGAAGATGTGATAATTCAACTTTCCAGGCATGTAATCTAACTCAGGGGTGGGCAGCTGGCGGCCTGGGGGCCACATGCGGCCGTCAATGTGGCCCCTCAGGTCAATTTTGACATCAAGACAAAATCTGCCATGAAATCATGAAAACCAGAAATATATCCATAATAATATTTGACAACTGGCATATGTTGAGTTAAATTTGAGACATAATTGACTGTAATTGTTTTTGTATTCTACAATTTGGCCCCTCGCTGTGAGAATTAAATGAACGTGGCCCCTCGCTGTGACCACAGTTGCTCATCCCTGATCTAACTCTTCATTCAAACACTCGCTGTATTGCCGATGCTGGATAAAAGCATCTATTCTGGACGTTGATTTGAATCTTTCCTTTGCTTGTTGTGAACCAAAAGAGAGCCTCAAACACACAGCAGGTTCCCCCTCAGATCAAACGGTGTCAAAGCCTCCAAAAGGGCCTCGACCATCTCATCCCCTCTCTGCTGTGAATGCTTTCAACCATGTCTCTAAAATCCAGGACGCTGCCGTGCGGATTCTCTCCAGGGAACACATTTTTTTTTTTTGGGTGACGCTAAAACAAAACAAGGATTTGCTTTCCCACGGGGAGGTGATAAACCACTCTTCTTACTGCTACAACACAGACACAGTGTTTGGGAGTGCCTGGAAAACCTCCAAAGGGGATGCATCCTAATCAGAAGCCCTGGCTCCTTTTCAAAGCGAAGGAGCTCCTCACCCGACCTCTACCTCGGTCACTACCCATCCACAAGCTCCCGTTTTCCAGCAGCGGACCGTGGCCTCAGACTTTGATTCCCACATCGTGCACTTTTAATGGATCTTGATGTTTTTCACAGATTTGTTACAGGCTCACATCTCCCACTCGGCAGGAAAATCCAACCACTTTCAGGCGCCCTACACGCCTTTATATGTTATCATGTTGTTTACAAAATCCACTCTTCTGTCAGGACTCTGTTGACCTTTTTTAATGTGTGTGAGAAGATTTTAAGCCTGTTGATGTTTGAGTGTAATCCTCATTTTCTGACCTCTCTGTGCGCTCCTCTCCAAGCGATCTTTAGTTGTTGTGTTTTGTGCTTCGAGCTCGTACTCGGGGAGTGTTCGCTTGTTCTGTTTTTCCTTTTTGTTCAGAACGAGCAATGTGAGTGTCAGCCCTTTTTTTTTTTTTTTTTTTACCCACCACCTTTACAGACGTGTTGTGCGGCCTCCTCTTATGAAAACCTTGTGACCGCACAGACAGACAGGCAGACCCCTCTCTCACTCTTTTCTTTCTGCACATGTCCCGCTGATCACATGACTGAGGCCGAGGGGGGAACCTGGACGCGTCCCACTCAGGAATGTTTCACACACTCACATGCTGCCTGCTTTGACGTCAGCTGTGGCTTGCCTTGGTGTGTGTGTGTGTGTGTGTGTGTGTGTGATTGTGTGCCTGACCTCCAGATTTCTTCAGATGAGCGCCGACGCTCAGGCCTGAACTTGCATTTTAGAATTCAAGACATCTTCAGGTTTAGTCTGAGTCACTGCTGCTAAATGTTCCATAGATGATGAAGAAACAAAGTACAGAAAACAGTGCTTTGGGTTATCACTCGATTCCTCTTCTCATCCTCACATCCTCCTGAACTTTCAAACGTCAGAGTCTGACTCGTCTCCCCTCCCTGTCGTCCCAAACAGTGTGGAAATCGGGGAGAGCGTTCGCGGCGAGGATGTCTACATCGTGCAGAGCGGCTGCGGCGAAATCAACGACAACCTCATGGAGCTGCTCATCATGATCAACGCCTGCAAGATCGCCTCGTCGTCCAGAGTCACCGCCGTCATCCCCTGCTTCCCCTACGCCCGGCAGGACAAAAAAGACAAGGTGGAGACGCACACACTTGCACATGAACCACAGTGAACACACTGAATATGAACTTTTATAGAAATGCACATCCCAACTCAGTGTGGTAAATACAATGCATGAATACAACAGCATTTGAAAGAGTCCATAACATTTTAATTTTAATGTTTTAAATAAGAAATAAAAGCACTGTTGTTTCATCGTAAACTGGACGATCAAAGTTAGTGCTTCACATGTTGCACTGCATGTCGACATTCTAACAAAGTCTGCAGTGACGTGATAAGTCAGAAAACGGCGCCGTCGCACATTCCAGCAGTCTCACAAACTGGATCGTTCAACCTTCTTATCCTGTCAGTCATTATCTTTATGTTGCACTCCGATGTCCATGCTGTCTCTTCACCTGCAGTCAATAAAAGTAACACTTCTAATATTACTCTTGACATGTGCGGGTCACTGACTTCGCTTTACCTCATCTGCATGGTCACCCAACATTTGTGAGGGCAGTTTGCAGTCTTCCTGCACAAAACTGAGAATCCGGTTTTGAAGGCGATTAGGAAATCTGTGAGATGAGAAGCGATGAGTCAAATCTTCCATCGATTTTGTTGTTGAAATGTGAGAATGTTGAATTTCAATCTGGAAAAAGTGCAAAACGCTGCACTTACAAATTCAACTTGGATTGAGCTCTATGATGCTCACATTTCTTTCCTCAGCTCGAGTCACGGCTCCTCTGAGCACTCGCGCTAATAAAGCTCTGCCAATCGAGCCCAGGTGGTCGAGTGTTTTGTTGATGAACGCCAAAGCTCTGCACCTTTTTTTTAAAAATCAGTGAATCTCAACTTTAGAAGAATGTCAGAGATGGTGACTGCATGGGGCTTGAATTCAGTTTTGATGTCTTGATGCTTGTCAGAGTCGAGCACCCATCTCGGCGAAGCTGGTGGCCAACATGTTGTCAGTGGCCGGAGCGGACCACATCATCACCATGGACCTGCACGCCTCACAGATCCAGGTCAGTGTGTGAAGGAACGCCACCCCTCTGTGTGTTACTGTCAGTGTGTAGCATGCTCTAAAACACCACATATTATAAAGCAGGGACGTGACAGTTTTTGCTATCTAGAGGGGAGTTTCTGTTATTTTCACTAAGTAAAAGTTGTCAGAAGCAGACTGGGAGAAGTCTCAGATGCTGCCTTAAAGGGACAGTACTCAGAAATAAAGTTTCAAGTGATTTTAAAATAAGGAGCTGAAGCCGAAATGATGTGTTCAGTTTTAAAATATTCATCTGTGTTAAAAGACATTTAAAAAAAAAAAAAAAAAAAAAAGTAACTTGGTGATGTGTGTCATATATTTTTTTAGGGTTTTTTCGACATCGCAGTAGACAACCTTTATGCAGAACCAGCGGTGCTACAGTGGATACGCGAAAATATTCCTGAGTGGAAGAATTGTATAATCGTTTCTCCAGATGCCGGTGGAGCGAAACGGTAAGAGTCGGCGAGGGGTTCAGGGGCCGTGCGATACCTCACAGTGACTCACAGGCACCCAAGAAATGAAAGGTGTTTTAATGGCACTGCAGTGTGGAGGTGGAGCGCTGCCCATACACACATCTGAGAGCTTAGGCAACATGACATGAGTTTATAAATGTACATAAAATGTGTTTACATGTCAGTAAGAGTTTAAAAAAAGAACATCTGAGGAGCAGGTGAATGTGTTTTCTCTGAGTCGTGCGTGTCCCTCTCCCCGTCCAGGTGACGTCCATCGCCGACCGCCTGAACGTGGACTTTGCTCTGATCCACAAAGAGAGGAAGAAGGCCAACGAGGTGGACCGCATGGTGCTGGTCGGGGACGTCAAAGACCGCGTAGCCATCCTGGTGGACGACATGGCCGACACCTGCGGCACCATCTGCCACGCTGCCGACAAGTCAGTTAAATTCAAATCTGTGTGTGTGTGTGTGTGTGTGTGAGTGTGTGTGTGAGTGTGTGTGTGAGTGTGTGTGTGTGTGTGTGAGGAGTCACAGACGTGGAGCTGGAGAAGCAAAGGGCAGTCGGTGTTATCTGGGTTTGATTTAATCAAACAGTCTGTGAAGTGTTACTCAGTAAAAGCTGATAACTGCTGCATATTAATATTAAACTGATAAGATTTAGAGACATGTTTGTAGTTTTAGTTTCATATCATTTTTTTTTTTTTTTTTAAATCACTTTGTTTTCATCGCTCCTCTCAGGCTGATTGATGCTGGAGCCGTGAAGGTGTACGCCATCCTCACACACGGCATTTTCTCCGGTCCGGCCATCTCTCGTATCAACAGCGCCCCGTTCGAGGCCGTGGTGGTGACCAACACCATCCCGCAGGAGGAGAAGATGAAGGCGTGTCCCAAAATACAGGTACACAACACACCTTGGTGACATGTGATACCTGAGGGGGGGGGGGGTGTATACACACAGGTAGAGAGGAGCTGCTTCTTGTTTTTATTTTCCCCTCACATGTTGGACTCTGTTTCCTCCAGGTCATCGATATCTCCATGATCCTGGCGGAGGCGATCAGGAGAACCCACAACGGCGAGTCCGTGTCCTACCTCTTCAGCCACGTACCTTTGTAGAAAGAAAAAGAGCAGGAGCGTTTCCTCGTCCTCTTTCCACTTTGAGCCACTCGGCCGGCACTTTTCTGCCACATATCCTCCAGAAAGGCCGGGGAAATAAAAAAACGGCCTGCTGGTTTTTTTTTTTTGTTGTTCTTGTTTTTTTGGCCAACTCCCAAATGTGACTGTTAAAAATGTCGCGCCCACATGATCGTTGTTTCTGACATCTTCACCACAGGACAAATATCATCTCTCAAGTTGTATTTATGAGTTCCTCCTTTTTTTTTTTTTCCTCCTTCTTCTCTTGTTTCAGTTTGTCCGACCTTAAAACACCCGAGGCCTGGCCTTCACTTTAACCAAAGGGTCCATGATGTAACATGATGTATGATTTGTACCTCACTTAAAAAGAAACCATTCCACCAAGTCATTCAAGTAGACATATTTAGGCTTTTTAAGCTTCAAAGAATAAGAAAGAAAAGAGTTCAAAATGTGAAAATGTGCACCTTTCCTCCCCTGAGTGTTTGCCTTAACAGCTGCTAAGATGATTTGAATACAGCTTAACTCTTCGCGCTCTAAAGATTGTAATATTTTGGCTTCATACAGGAGTTGATTTCAAACTTTGTCTCACCTCTGAACTGTGATTTCTCCTTTAATAAGCTGCTGCCAACCTTCCTCCTTTGTTTCTGTTTAATTCAATGAGAACTGAACTCTCCCGACAGCTCTGTTATTGATTAGAAAAAGAAAAAAAAAGAGTGTGATGCAAGGTGTTATGGGTGCTGCGCCCACGTTTCAAAAAGGTCACGAAAACAAAAGGAGCCCAAAGCTTGAGAATAGTGTTTAACATGTCAAGGTTTCACAGCGTCTTCAAACAGAACCGGCTGTGACGGGTCACTTTAGTTCAGACGAGGCAGGTCTCACTCTCTGCCTGTTGGTGGATTTAAAAAAAAGCATGATTTAATTTTTTTTTTATATGTAACACTTCAAGCTGTTTTGTTGACAATAAAGCTTTGACAATGGCTGACAGAAAGTGTTCTGCTCTTCATTTCATGTGGTGAGTAAATCTAAAAGAACATCAAGACGTTTAACAATTAAAGCTCAAAGTTTGGGGATGAGAGATTCATTTACTTCAACAAATGTTGAAATTGCTTTGAATCCTTTTTGTGTGATGAAGCAGCGTTGCATCCTACATTTCCCATCATGCAACACAAACACATCTGCAAGATCCTGCATGTGAAAGGTTTCAGTTTTTCACACAACCAAGTGTGTCATCTCCAAACCTGAGCTGCGAGCATACTGATGACATCACAATGACGTCATATTTTTTTCTCAATCACCCAGAAAGTGGGCTTTAGTTTTATTACGATGTAGACAAATATAATTATATTGCTCAACTTATTTTAATGGCTTTTATAATTATTTTTACTACAATCAACTGGTATTGATTCATTTACTTTATGCCTGCAAAAAAACCTTTTTCCTTCTGAACCATATTTGTGTCTGAATTGCATTTTTGTTTTGTTTTTTGCTGCTCAACCATGCATGGAGTATGACTTCAAATGTCCACCAGGGGGCGTCATTCTACAGGAATGTGCAGCTGTAGGACGATGAGAGGAGGGGAGACATGAGGAGCCGTTGAATTTACATTTTCTTTGAGTTTTTTTGTCTCATGAATCAACTCAAAAATCAAAAATAATAATGATAATAATTAGTAAAACCTCTGTTGTAGTTAATAAACATGTTTAGGATGCCTTATTGATACAAAACACCTTTTTTTTTTTTTTTTTTCAAAGAGCTCAGATCTGCACAGAAACACAATAAATCCATGTATCTATTTCCTCCTTCTGGGTTTTGATGATGTGAGGCTCCTCTAAAGACGTTTGTAGGTGTTTAGTTTCAGGATGAGGATGGAGGTCCGAGCCTCACCAGCAGAGGGCTGCAGCAGAGGGTGATGGGAGCTGGTGATGTCAGATGTCATTAGCATATTTCTGACTATAACTAATGCTTGCGCAAAGACGCTCCACTACTGCTGCACCACACTGACCAGAGACATCCAGCCACCAGAACACACTGGTAAGATCTGTTCAACATCTCTGTTCTCTCAGCCTGATTAGCTGCAGCTTCACAATAGTCTGGTAAAAGCGAGGATTAAGATAGAGGCGTTTGGGGAAATGTGCCAAATGGATAATCAGAGGGTGGGGGGGGAAAGAAAATTCGGATTTGACGTGAACGCAACTTGTTTTTGTGTATTAAAATGTCACATCAGGGTTTGTTGTGACAGCATCGTTGACCTTTATGTTGTGTCTTTGTCTGAACCGCATACATTCTTGCATAACACCCTGTTTCCTTTGTTGTCGCGCCTGGTTCCGTTATTAGGATGACGCGTTCACTGCGCTTTATTCTGACTGGGAGCGTGTGTTTCTTTGTGTTTTTCTTTCGGCATTGAACTTAGATATTAAGGAATGTGCAAACATGTCAATCTGGGCGGTGGTTCCTTCACGTTGCACCCCCCCAGGAGAAGTACGTGACAAGTGAATCTGCGGGATTGTTGTACAGCATGTGGAAAGCCCCTTGCGTGGACCCTCACAAAGCAATATTCAACATCTCGAATATAAACATTGTTTTAACCTTTTGTGTGCGTTTTTAAGAACAGCTGCAAACCATTGCGCAGTGTGCTCAGTTTTTATTTATTTATATATTTTCCTCGCACTGCCCAGCATGGGAACTGCTATTGTTATGTAAATGTCAGGTTTGAAGGCGTTGTGGACTGGCTTCATTGTCTGGAGCAGCCCGTCCCCTGTGTGTGTGTGTGTGTGAGTCATTGTGTGTGTGTGTGTGTGTGTGTGTGTGTGTGTGTGTGTGTGTGTGTGTGCACCATCCCCGGGGTTTTTTCGGGTTGGATAACGGGATGGAAGGCAGTCAAATCACGCCGGGCAGAGCTGCAGGCGAACAAAAGAAGGCGGACGCATATTTTAGGAAAAAGTAGTCCGGTCACTGAGATTCAGGCAACGCCCTTCTTCTGGTAGAAAGTCAGGGTGCAGCACGTGCTTGGGTGGATTGTGAAATTGCATGATTTATATGCATTAGACATATTTGAGATCATTATAATCATCTGGTCGTTCTGTTTCTTGTAGATGGAATAAAAATGATTTTTGAAATATCTGCAATGTGACAAAACGTCTGTTTACGCCCTTATCCTTCAGACCACCTAAAACAATGGCAGACAAACCCGACATCTCAGAAGTCACCAAATTTGACAAATCCAAGCTGAAGAAGACAGAGACACAGGAGAAGAATCCCCTGCCCACAAAAGAAAGTAAGTCTCTGCTCTTCAAACCTTCATTTTTTTATCATGGAGTTTGGCACATTTTGGTCTTTCTCCTGGTGGGTGTCTTATTTTTGTCCCCCCTTTTCCCATCCACAGCCATCGAACAGGAGAAGCAGGAGTCGTAGTGAAGCCCCTCCCTCCCGTCATGCACTGTACACCCCTCCTCCTCCTCCCGCATTGCCTTGTTTTCAGTCACTTCTTTTAGCCGTATAACTTTGTAACCGAAATTATGAAATGACAACAATAACCGAGCTGCACAGCCAGTGGACGGATGAAGCCTCTGTCCGGGCTGTCGGCTGTGCCCCCTTAACGACTCCCTTTACCATCTACACGCCCGTCTTTCTGTGACGATAAGGAAGACCTGTCTGAGGCGGAGGAGTGGGGGGGGTTGGGGGGGCGGCAGAAGGTGCACCCTAACACATGGCATCACCCACACGCAGTTCAGAGGCCTGAGGGACGGGGCGTGGTCCAAGAAGCTTCTCCTCATCTCACCGCCAACACCCGACTTCTAGTGTGGCTGCTTCTGCGTCGTAGCTAAGGCGTCAAGCTTTTTATTTGTCGTTTTTATTGTCTTCTAATTTTCGGGAAATGCACAACTTTGTTTGTACGCTGGCCAAAATGTAAATGCCCCCCCAAAAAAATTGATACTGTCGTCCATCACGATGTTCTTCTTTTGTATGTACACAATGAAAACAAATAAGTGTAACGGATTCCATCTAGAAGTGGGAGACGCTCAAATGGACCTTATTTACAGTTAATGAGTGGGTCGAGATAGCCGTTGTGTTGCAACCTGTCTCTAATGAGGAAAAATTTTAAATTCTATATACCGGAAATTGATTCCATGTGTTTGCTTTCAACCGTAGATCAAAGTTCTTTGGAGTTCAGCAGTCATGTTACTCTGCCACAAACCATTACCAGAAATGGAAAACCGTGAAATGTTGTAATAAAAAAAGATTTGTTTAAAAAAACAAAAAACTGTGCTTGCAGACTTCTTTTTCTAGACATTCATCCACACAGCCACACATCCGAACAATAAATCCCCAATCTAAACTGAATTATCAGCTATCATTTTATGTAATGTTGTAGCTTAAAATGAGCCTCCCTGTTTTAATGTAACCCACTTTCACACCTCAGATGCCAAACAATCCTTCAGTGTTACTTAAAGGCTGAGGCTGTGCACTTTTGAAAGGCTTAAATATCTCTGCAGAAAGCCTGGCAGGGATTTACCAGCACAGGAGATGCTGTATGTGTGAGTGTGTGTGCAGAGAAAGAAAGAAAGAAAGAAGGAGGCTGGAAATGAAAGCAACTTGTCTGACCACCTGTCACCGGCGGAAAAAAACTTCAACGTAGGTGATTATTGCAGAAAAGCTCTAGAACCCGACAACTAGACGCAGCCTTTTGAGGAACTGTAATCACTTTGAGGTTAGCTTTGCTGCATGTTTGTCTCCAGGTTGCACATTTCTGAAACTTGATGAAACCTCTTCTTTAGAGGATTAATAACAAACATATTTTCCTGATAAAATTGGGACAAAAGAGTGTCAGGAACCTTTTTCTTGTGTCTATCATCTGGTGTGATGCACTGGTGAGCATTGGCTCATAGGTCAGTGTGCCCTGACCCAGAGAACAAGGTGTAGCCTCAGCAGGAGATTTACTCAGCCCTTATTTACTAAACTGCCTCCGTCCTAAATTAGCCACCGCCTGCAAAGCCTTAATGGCATTAGCATGACATTGCTTATGTCTGTAAACAACAGGCAACAGGAGATCTTTATGTTATGGTAGCTGCTTTTATTTGAGGTGTGGCTGAGGCTTTTTGGAGGATGTAGTGATGATGCATTTTGAGACGTGAGTCGACACTTTTCAGCTAGTCGGCTGTGTTTGTGTTGCAGTATTTAGCTTGTAGCTTGTAGCATCGCTTCCTGTAGTGCATAAAGAAAACATTCAAAAGTAGGGGAAAGCATCCTTGAGGTTACTCAGGTTTTTTTTTCTTCCCAGGCCGATGCTGAGATTGCCTTGCAATACTCTGCAAATCTGACAGTTAGCGTAAGTGGATTGTTGCTAAGTCAGTTGCTCTTAATAAGGCATTAATCTGCACCAACAAGGGATGTGGAGGTCAGTGGGCTAGCGCGCGGAGCGACTCGGGCCAAAGCCTCGCAGTACCTCCCTCAGATTGGATTAACACCTCCCATCTCCAGTTTCTCCCTCTGCCTGCTGGGACAGACCTTCCCCGGGAAAGTGACGGAGGACTTAAGGTGGAGTAGCAGCAGATGGGTGGGGGAGGAGGGAGGGTTGGGGGGGGGCAGATGCAGCCCTGCCTGGTATCCCATGGCAACAGCTGCTGCTGAGTCACTCCCTGGCGTTGGGGCGGTCGGATGCTTGTTATCCTTGTGGAGACTGTTCCTCCCTTGAGCACCCACATTAAACCCGTCCTCCTGTTGGCATGTTTGGAATACTCTGGAGATGAAGAAGCACATTCTGCTCTGCTGTGTATTCACACAGATTTGATCAGCTGTCCTTGGAGGCCTCTTGTCTTGACTAGTGGCACATCTTAGAAACTGTATTGATTAACTAAGGGATTGATTGATTATCGGTTACAGGAGGGTCACTTGCCTGAAACTAGAGGGTAACCAGAGAGAACCAGAGTCCCGGTACAGTTTTTGCAGTCATTGCGTTCATCTTTGAACCGATCTCTGAACCCAGGACTCCCAGGTAGAGGTCAGTACATTTGGGCCTCCAGTTTAGCCCTATGATAACTGCATAGCTGTTCATTTTCCCCTTCCACCTAGGAGTTGAGAGAGAAACATCGTATGGCAAAGCCTCTCAGAAAGAACTGTATACAACCAAAACATCCTCAGAAAACATGTGTCAATATTAATGAGATTACTTCCTCCCTGCATCCACATGTCTATATTCTAAAATCTGGTATTAGTGTTACACTCAGGTAACGTTCTTAATCTATCCAAGAGTTTGAGTCATGACCTACAAATGAGTCTAATCTTAGCTTCACCTTTACTTTGGGGTCTATGCTAATTAGCAAGTCTTAGCACTTTGGTATGGTAAGCATTACGCCCGCTAATGTTAGCATTGTCCTTTGTGAGCTTAGCATTCAGTACAGCCTCACAGTGCCACACTCCACATAGCTGCAGACTGTTCACCGACTGTTCACCGACTGTTCACCGACTGTTCACAGACTTTTCACAGACTGCTCACCGACTGTTCACCGACTGTTCACAGACTTTTCACAGACTGCTCACCGACTGTTCACAGACTGTTCACCGACTTTTCACAGACTGCTCACAGACTGCTCACAGACTGCTCACCGACTGTTCACCGACTGTTCACCGACTGCTCACAGACTGCTCACAGACTGTTCACCGACTGTTCACCGACTGTTCACCGACTGCACACAGACTGCTCACCGACTGTTCACCGACTGTTCACCGACTGCTCACAGACTGTTCACAGACTGTTCACCGACTGTTCACAGACTGTTCACCGACTTTTCACAGACTGTTCACCGACTGCTCACCGACTGTTCACAGACTGTTCACCGACTGTTCACCGACTGTTCACCGTCTGTTCACAGACTGTTCACCGACTGTTCACAGACTGTTCACAGACTGTTCACAGACTTCTCACCGACTGTTCACAGACTGTTCACAGACTGTTCACCGTCTGTTCACAGACTGTTCACCGACTTTTCACAGACTGTTCACAGACTGTTCACCGACTGTTCACCGACTGCTCACAGACTGTTCACCGACTGCACACCGACTGTTCACCGACTGCTCACCGACTGTTCACAGACTGCTCACCGACTGCTCACCGACTGTTCACAGACTGCTCACCGACTGCTCACCGACTGCTCACAGACTGCTCACCGACTGCTCACAGACTGCTCACCGACTGCTCACAGACTGCTCACCGACTGCTCACAGACTGCTCACCGACTGCTCACCGACTGCTCACAGACTGCTCACCGACTGCTCACCGACTTTTCACAGACTGCTCACAGACTGTTCACAGACTGTTCACCGACTGTTCACCGACTGTTCACCGACTGCACACAGACTGTTCACCGACTGTTCACCGACTGTTCACCGACTGCTCACAGACTGTTCACAGACTGTTCACCGACTGTTCACAGACTGTTCACCGACTTTTCACAGACTGTTCACCGACTGCTCACCGACTGTTCACAGACTGTTCACCGACTGTTCACCGACTGTTCACAGACTGCTCACAGACTGTTCACCGTCTGTTCACAGACTGTTCACCGACTGTTCACAGACTGTTCACAGACTGTTCACAGACTTCTCACCGACTGTTCACAGACTGTTCACAGACTGTTCACCGTCTGTTCACAGACTGTTCACCGACTTTTCACAGACTGTTCACAGACTGTTCACCGACTGTTCACCGACTGCTCACAGACTGTTCACCGACTGCACACCGACTGTTCACCGACTGCTCACCGACTGTTCACAGACTGCTCACCGACTGCTCACCGACTGTTCACAGACTGCTCACCGACTGCTCACCGACTGCTCACAGACTGCTCACCGACTGCTCACAGACTGTTCACAGACTGTTCACCGACTGTTCACCGACTGCTCACCGACTGTTCACAGACTGCTCACCGACTGCTCACCGACTGTTCACCGACTGCTCACCGACTGCTCACCGACTGTTCACCGACTGCTCACCAACTGCTCACAGACTGTTCACCGACTGCACACAGACTGTTCACCGACTGCACACAGACTGTTCACCGACTGCACACAGACTGTTCACCGACTGCACACAGACTGTTCACCGACTGCTCACAGACTGTTCACCGACTGCACACAGACTGTTCACAGACTGCACACAGACTGTTCACAGACTGTTCACCGACTGCTCACAGACTGTTCACCGACTGCACACAGACTGCACACAGACTGCTCACAGACTGTTCACCGACTGCACACAGACTGTTCACCGACTGCACACAGACTGTTCACAGACTGCTCACCGACTGCTCACCGACTGTTCACCGACTGCTCACAGACTGCTCACCGACTGCTCACAGACTGCTCACAGACTGTTCACCGACTGCTCACCGACTGTTCACAGACTGTTCACCGACTGCACACAGACTGTTCACCGACTGCACACAGACTGTTCACCGACTGCACACAGACTGCTCACAGACTGCACACAGACTGCTCACCGACTGTTCACAGACTGTTCACCGACTGCACACAGACTGTTCACCGACTGCACACAGACTGCTCACAGACTGTTCACCGACTGCACACAGACTGTTCACCGACTGCTCACCGACTGTTCACAGACTGTTCACCGACTGTTCACCGACTGCTCACCGACTGTTCACAGACTGCTCACCGACTGCTCACCGACTGTTCACAGACTGTTCACCGACTGTTCACCGACTGCTCACAGACTGCTCACCGACTGCTCACAGACTGCTCACCGACTGCTCACAGACTGCTCACCGACTGTTCACAGACTGTTCACAGACTGCTCACCGACTGTTCACCGACTGCTCACAGACTGCTCACCGACTGCTCACAGACTGTTCACAGACTGTTCACCGACTGCTCACCGACTGCTCACAGACTGCTCACCGACTGCTCACAGACTGCTCACCGACTGTTCACCGACTGCTCACCGACTGCTCACAGACTGCTCACCGACTGCTCACCGACTGTTCACAGACTGTTCACCGACTGCTCACCGACTGCTCACCGACTGTTCACAGACTGCTCACCGACTGCTCACCGACTGCTCACAGACTGCTCACAGACTGTTCACCGACTGCTCACCGACTGTTCACAGACTGTTCACCGACTGCACACAGACTGTTCACCGACTGCACACAGACTGTTCACCGACTGCACACAGACTGCTCACCGACTGTTCACAGACTGTTCACCGACTGCACACAGACTGTTCACCGACTGCACAC